TCCTCCGATGCCCGGCGCCCCCTCCTGGAGAAGCCGGAACAGCGATTCAGCCCCGAGGGGCACGGGCCGCCGAGCGTCCCGCACCCGGCTTCGAAGATTTGGGGATCCAGAACCGCGCATCTTCTTCAGGGATTCCCAGACTCCGAGCCCAAGACCCCGGTGTTGGAGAACTTGGGGATCAGACGCCTGGCGCCCCGACAGTCTGCAGCATCCATCACTTCAAGGGGACCGAGGAGTTTGAGACCACTTGCGCGCCCTCCTGGGGGTGACTCAACCTCTGGCCCCCGAGGTTTAGAGAAACTCAGGAACCCAGGTCCTTCCCCAGCTCCGGCCCTACCTAGCAGACTCAGGAATGTGGGTCCCCAGCGCCCCCATCTGAGGTTCGCAGCACCTTTCACTTAGAACACCAAGACATCGGACTGTGCACCCCAAGGCTAGGAAGACACTCGGGATTCCGGAGCTTGAAAGCCCCAACTTCTCGACGCTGCGCCCCGACTGTACGCCTCCCTGGGGACCGCATTAGGATCCGGACCAGCCGGGCTCAGGGCTGGCGGCTCCCGGGGAGGTGAGGGGCAGTGAGGGGCCCGGGGCTGGGGGAGGGGGCGGCGCCGCGGCCGAACAATGAGGGGGCGTGCCGGCGGGGGCCGAGCCGAGGCGCCGGCGGGAGTCGGGGGCTGGAGGGGGCTGGGAAGGCGCTGGGGGCGCCGGGGCGGTGGGGACTGCGGTCCGGGCGCCGAGAGGGGCTGGGGAGAGGACGGCTCGGGGCCAGCGCCCTGGCGCTCAGTCCCTGGCGGGGGAGGGAATCGTCTGCAGGACCCTGGCATCCGGTCCCCTAGCCTCCGCCTTCCCTTGGGACCCCGCGGCCTCCCTCCCGCCCACGGCTTTTCCCAGCCCTGCCCCTCGCCCTCCACTGCAAGCCAGAGCCTGGAGCGTTCCCAGGATCCCTGAACCTCGAGATTGGGGCCCCCGATTGATGGAACTTGGAGTTTCGGGGGATTTTTGCCGTCTTCTATATTCTTTAGGTTGTCTTCGGTTCTCTTTTCTGTCACTTTGTATCTTTCCAGGAGTCAACGCCCATGGGGCCCCCTTCCTGGATTTAAACCAACTCCCAGCACCCTATCTGTGAATTGGGGTGACCGTGAGGCCAATGGAGTCCTGTCCCCCACCCCCAAGAAGTGCGTCTTTTTGCAGGTCTCAGGTGTACCACTCAGCCATGCCCGAGGGAGCCCGGGGACCTAGCTTGTCCAAACCCAGCCCGAAGCTCGGGTGTGGCCACAGAGGTGAAGTTCTCCACTCCATAACTGGGTGTGACACTCAGACAGGTGAGCATCCTAAACGGGTGGAGCCTGTGGGCATTTGTCCCCTCGTTCAGGACACTGAACAACCCTCTGAGTCTATGGCTGACCCAGCGCTGCCAACACGGTAGCCCAGACAGCCCAGCCCTGTCCCCACAGTCGGGTTGGCCAAGCTAAGAATTCAAAGGTTCAGGAAGAAGGAATTGGACTGGGACAAAGGAGTGTTCTTCACACAGGGAACCATGTGTGCAAAGGCCTAGAGCTTCTATAAGTAACTGAAAGAAGTTGGTTATGCCAGGGATGCTGGGAGTTGTTAAGAGATGTGTCATGGGAAAGGGATCTGTCATGGCCACATTGCTATAGGGCTCCGTGGATCTGAGGAGTTTGGACAGTAGCCTGAGGACTTGAAGGGGCTGTGCCGATGGGAGTTACAAGGTCAGTTGGACAGATTCATAAAGGTCTCTGTGGTTGATGGATGGAGGCGAATTAGAGGAATGGAGGACCAAGGCTCAGAGAGGAGGGACCATGGTAGGTAAAGGATAGGACTGGACCAAGTTAGGGCAGGGAAGGAAGGAGAGAATTGAGGGAACACCATTGGCCAGGTGTGGGTGAGTTTGGGGGCTATGGAAAAAAAATATCTGGGGAGAACCCCTGAGTGCCTCTTTCCTATCTCAGCAGCCCCTGCAGCCCCCACCATGGCTTCTCCCCGAGGTTCTGGTAGCTCTACATCTCTGAGCACAGTGGGCTCTGAAGGGGACCCAGCACCAGGGCCCTCACCAACCTGCTCAGCCTCCAGGCCGGAGCCACTGCCAGAGCCCCCTATACGCCTGCACCTGTCGCCTGTTGGGATCCAGAATTCAGTAAAACCTTCAAGGCTGGAGAGAGTGGCCAGAGAGATCGTGGAGACAGAGAGGGCCTATGTCCGGGATCTTCGCAGCATCGTGGAGGTGAGGTGGGCAGGCATCCAGGGACAGTGGGGATCTGGTCAGGCCCTTGGCCTCTGTAACACCCTGTCATCCCCACAGGACTACTTGGGCCCTCTGCTCGATGGTGGGGTCCTGGGGCTGAGCATGGAGCAGCTGGGCACGCTGTTTGCCAACATCGAGGATATCTATGAGTTCAGCAGGTCAGGGGCAGGAGGGACCTCAGGGGTGCTGGCCTCTGTGGCAAGGGAGGGTTATATCACTAATTTGAGTGCCTACTTAGTGCCCTGTGTAGGCTGGCACATGCAGTCCACTGACAGTGAGGACCCTAGGTGGTAAGCACAGGAGACCACATAACCAGACAGGCACCACAGCAGGATAGGATCCTGGGCTTGTTGAAGATCATGACCATGTGTACACTAGTGTGACCAACTCCTGGAGAGCCCAGGACTTTCCCAGGTTTAGCACCATGAGTCCTTCTACTGGGGAAGGTTCTTGGTCCTGGCCAAACCAAGCTGGCTGCTCAGCCTGGTGAAGACACCTGGCTCCAATTGTGAGATCTCAGAATTATAAAAGAATCTTTTGTGTTTTTCTTTGTTTTGTTTAAATATTTGAGACAAGGTCTCATGTAACCCAGGCTGGTCTTGAACTTACTGTATAGCCGAGGATGACCTTAAATAATGATCTTCCTGTCTCTACATCCCAAGTGTTGGAATTAGAAGCATGTACCACCACACCCAGCTACTGTTTGGGGTTTTTTTGTTTTGTTTCTTGAGAGTCTCCTTTATGTAGCCCAGCCTGGCTTCAAACTTGAGATCCTCCTGTCTCAGCTGCCTGAGAGCTGGGATAACAGTTGTGCACCACCCGTGCCTGATTTGTAACAGTCTTTCTGTTTTATGACTCTGGAGATTGAAACAGGACCTGAGCTACAGTAAGCAAGCACTATACCCCTGAGCTATATATATCTCCCCAGCTCTTTTTTTCACTTTTGGTTTTGAGAACAGAGTCTCACTAAGTGGCTCAGCCTGACCTTGAACTCTTGATCTTTCTGCCTTAGCCTCCCAAGTAGCTGAGATTACAAGAGAGTGTACCACCAATACAACTCTGGCTAACACCAAAATCTTAAAATCATATATTTGGGGATTCCCAACACCGCCTGCCCCAGAGCCATAATGTCACAGTAGGTTGTGACCTGCCAGCCGTGATGGTTTTCAGACCTAACAGCCTGTTGAGTAGGGTGCAATGTCTTATGTAGCCATTAGAGGCCCCCCTCCTCTGGTCATGATGTCCCATTGAAATGTCCTGTCTTGAAACTCTCCTGAGTCTTGCTTTGGGGGATTTGGATGCAGGAGGGTCCCTCACCTTTGCCCTCCCCCACAGCGAGCTTCTGGAGGACTTGGAAAGCAGCAGCAGTGCAGGAGCCATCGCTGAGTGCTTCGTGCAAAGGGTAAGAGCCAGGATCTCAGGGTGGAGTGTGGTTATGGGACAGCAGGCCTCAGCTGGCCTAGGCTGGGCTAGGCTACAGGGGGACTGTGGGAAGCTGGGTGGCCCTGACTCCCTTGTCCCCCGCAGAGCGAGGATTTTGACATCTACACACTGTACTGCATGAACTACCCGAGGTGAGGGGTAGGGAGTTCCTGCTTGGCCCTAGGCCATGCCTGTGCCAGCTGCCCCCTCTACCCTCCAACCCACTCAGTGCCCAGCTATAGCCCCTGCCAGAGCTTGATAATCACTGACCTCCCTAAGTGCCCTGTCCCCTCCCAGCTCTGCCCATTGGAGCTACCACTCCCCACTAACCTGTGCTATGCCTCCAGCTCCCTGGCCCTGCTCCGGGAACTGTCACTGTCCCCACCAGCTGTCCTGTGGCTGCAGGAGCGCCAGGCCCAGCTCCATCACTCCCTGCCCCTGCAGAGCTTCCTGCTGAAGCCAGTTCAGCGAATCCTGAAGTACCATCTCCTGCTGCAGGTCAGCTGTGGCACCTGGGGTCTGGCTGTGGGGAGAGGCACAGTCGAGTCCCCAGCCACCCCTGGTTCCATCACTCTTTCTCCGTGTTCATTGTGTCCTTTCATTTCTCCTTCATACTCTTATTTCTCCCCACCTCGTGTGCCCGGCGGATGCCTGGCAGGAACTGGGCAAGCACTGGGCAGAGGGCCCAGGCACTGGAGGTCGAGAGATGGTGGAGGAAGCCATTGTGTCCATGACTGCAGTGGCCTGGTACATCAACGACATGAAACGCAAGCAGGAGCACGCAGCACGCTTGCAGGTGGCCAATCCCCTTGGGTGGAACTGGTGGGATAGTGCTTGGAATCAGGCTTAGAGGGTTGTTCAGTGCATCCTAGTCATTAACGACCCTGTCTTGGCCTGTGTGCCACCCACATCTGTCTCTGTGCCTGCTGTGGCCCTGGCAGGAAGTGCAGCGGCGGCTGGGTGGCTGGACTGGCCCGGAGCTCAGTGCCTTTGGAGAGCTGGTGCTGGAAGGTGCCTTCCGAGGGGGTGGCGGGGGAGGCCCCCGGCTTCGAGGGGGTGAGCGGCTGCTCTTCCTGTTCTCCCGGATGCTGCTGGTGGCCAAGCGTCGGGGGCCTGAATACACCTACAAGGGCCACATCTTTGTGAGTATGGGGATAGAGGCAAGGCCTAGACAATTCTCTCTGAAATACCTTCTGTCTACCTCCACCTGAACCACCTGCAGGGTCTGCCTGGCAGAAAAGAGTCATGTTTATCTGGGTCTAGTGTCATCGACCTGGGATCCTAGTTATTCAGGAAGATTGAAAGTCTAGGCAAAACTTAGGAAACTGAGTGTGGTAGTACGCACCTGTAACCCTAGCAGTCAAGGGGGCTACAGCAAGAGGGTCCCTGGAAGTTAAGCCATCCTGAGCTGCAAGTGTGCTCAAGGCCAGTTAGTGAGCTCCTGTTTCAAAAACAGATGGGGGCTGGAGAGATGACTCAGTGGTCAACAGTGTGGACTGCTCTTGTAGGAGGACCAGAGTTCCATTCCCAGCACCCACATCAAGCAGCTTACAACTGCCTAGAACTCCAGCCCCAGGGGATCCTTTGCCTCTGGTCTCATCAGAGGCACCTGCTCTCACATACAAATACCCACATACAGACACATAATTAAAAAATAATAATAGTCAGGTGTGGTGGTTCAGTAGCTAAAGGTGCTTGCCACTAAGTCCAAAAACCTGAGTTCAGTCCCCAGGACCCACATTGTAGAAAGAGACCTGACACCTGAAAGTTGTCCTCTGACCTCCAAATACACTCTGTGGCATGCCCCCCATTAATTAACACTAACAAATGTGGGGAGTTGGCACTCAATTGCCCTCCATTCTAGAGGGTGTACTCCCTACTTTTGATTACTTTTTATTAAAAAATAATTTTATTTACTTATTTTGTTTGTTCTTTTTGAGACAGGGTCTCCCAGCTGACCTGGAAGTCACTACGTAGACCAGGCTGGCCTTGAACTCACAGAAATCCACTTGCCTCTACCTCCCAAGTGCTGGGCCACCACACCCAGCATTTTTTTTTTTTTTTTTGTCTTTTTGAGACAGGGTCTCCCTGTAGTCCCAGCTGACCTGGAACTCCCTATATAGACCAGGCTAGCCTTGAACTCACAGAGATCCACCTGCCACGGCCTCCCAAGTGCTAGGATTAAAGGGTTGGCCACCACGCCCAGCACTTATTAAAAATATTTTTGCTAAAATAAACCTTGATTGGGGAGGGTCACTTTAAAATGTTGACTGGGTGTGGTGTCGAATGCCTTTAATCTCAGCACTTGGGAGGCAGAGGCAGGTGGATTTCTGTGAGATCAGGACCAGCCCGGTCTACATATCAAGCTCCAAGGCAGCTGGGGCTATAGGGAGACCCTGTTTCAAAAATACCAGAATTAAATTCAAATCTTAAAATGTGACTTTTGTGATGTACAGAATTGAACCCAGAGTCTTCCACATGCTAAGCAAGCATTTTACCACTAAGATAGCCCCAACCCAGGAGCTGGTTCTCTCCTTCCCCCATATTGGTCCTTGGGATCCAACTCAGAATTGTTGATAAGTGTTTTTACCTGTGGAGCCCCACTGCCTGTATTTGGGGGCCGGGGGTGGGTGTGGGTGTGCATGCTATGTGTATGTGTGGTGCTGGGTATAGAATCTAAGGTCTTGTGGATGCCAGGCAAGCACTCCATCACTGAGCCACACTTCCAGCCCATGGGCCACATTTTCTTTTTGGCTTTTAAAAAGGTTTAATAGCCCTCAGGCCTGCTCACCAGTGCTTCTACTTACTCAGGCCTCTTGCCAGTATTTTTGGATTTTTTTTCTTTTGGAATTTTAAAAAATATATTTCATTTATTAATTTTATTTTCTGTGTATTGCCTGCCTGCATGTGTGTAAGTGCACCCATGCCATACAGTGCCCACAAAGATCAGAAGAGGGTATTGGATCCCCTGGAACTGGAGTTACAGAAGGTTGTTAGCTGCCATGTGGGTGCTGGGAATCGAACCCAGGTCCTCTGCAAGAGCACCTAGTGCTCTTAATCACTGAGCCATCTCTCCAGCCCCGTTAAGGTTTATTTTTTAGTTATGTGTATACATGTCTGTATGTGGGTATGTGCACATTGAGTGCAAGTGCCCTTGGAGGCCTGAGGAGTCAGATCCCTCAGGAGCTGGAGCTCCAGGTCTTTGTGAGTCAGTTGACCTAGTTGCTGGGAATTGAACTTGGATCCTCTAGAAGAGCAATACATGCTCTTAACTGATGAGCCATCTCTTCAGCCCTATTTTTAGAGTTTTGAGACAGTGTCTCCCTTTGTAGCTTTTTTGCCTGAAACGTGCTATGCAGAGCAGGTTGACCTCAGACTTGCTGCAGACCTCCTGCCTCAGCCTCCCAAGTGCTAAGACTACAAGTTTGTGCCACCATTTTTCATGAGCTCAAAAATGGAGGAGCCATAGGCTGACCATGTGGCTCAGTTGGGAGAGTACTTGCTTAGCATACACAAAGCCCTGGGTTCAATCCCTAGCACTTCGTAAACCTGTAATCTCAGCACTCAGGTGGTAGAGGCAGCAGGATCAGGTTCAATATCATCATTTGCCATATAGTAAGTTTGAGGATACATGCAATCCTTTAAAACTTAAGAGGTTGAGCCAGGCGTTGTGGCTCACGCCTTTAATCCCTGCACTCGGGAGGCAGAGGCAGGAGGATCTCTGTGAGTTCAAGGCCAGCCTGGTCTACATAGTGAGTTCCAGGACAGCTGGGGCTACAGAGAGACCCTGTCTCAAAAAGACAAAAAAAAAGGAATAAATTGAGCCGGGCGTGGTGGCACACGCCTTTAATCCCAGCACTCGGGAGGCAAAAAAAAAACCAAAAAAAAAAAAAAGGAATAAATTCAGTGGGGTGGATGTCTTCATAGGGGGATCAGGGGAGAAGCACATCTTGATGAAGGTGTGGTAAAGAGGACTGTGGTAAGGGAGTGTGCAGAGCCTAGCGTGGTGGGGTAGGAGACTCCACAGTCTTTGGGGATCCTCTTTCTAAGGAATGAGAACCCAGATATCTTGGTACCAGAGCTTTCAGCATGCCACCCCTCTCTGCCTGCCCCCCTCCCCCAGTGCTGTAACCTGAGTGTAAGCGAGAATCCTCGAGACCCCTTAGGGTTCAAGGTGTCCGATCTGACCATCCCCAAGCACAGACACCTGCTCCAGGTGAGCACAGGCTGGGCTGGGCTGTCACCCCTCTTCCAGCCTGGACCCCAGATCTCTAACCTTCACCTACCCTACCCCCAGGCCAAGAACCAAGAAGAGAAACGGTTGTGGATTCACTGCCTGCAGCGCCTCTTCTTCGAGAACCACCCTGCTTCCATCCCTGCCAAGGTAAGCTCCTGTCACAGCAGGGTCCCCTCGGAATACTGAACCCCTAGCCCATAACAGCCCTGAGTACAGGGATGTGGTTCTTTTAAAACCTCATCACTGAAGCGAGACAGGGTGGTGCACGTCTTTAATCCTAGCACTTGGGAGGCAGAGGCAGGTGGCCTCTGTGAGTTCCAGGGCAGCTGGAGCTACAGGAAGACCCTGTCTCCAAAAAGACTTAAAAAAACCTAATCGCTGAGCCCACAGAATTGGGCTGCTCTGGTTTTGCATTCCAGTTCTAGCACACTATTGCTTTGTGACCCCGGGCAACTAACTTAACCTCTCTAGGCTTCAATTACCTCACCTGGAGGAATAGTACCTACATTCTAGGGCTGTGGTAAAGATTAACCATCTTCGAAGAACTCATTTCTGGGAATGGCTGGCATTCAAGATGGGTTCTCCCAATTTCTGTGCCCCCAACACCCATCTCTCCCTGTCTTTTCAGGCAAAGCAGGTTCTCTTGGAGAACAGCCTGCACTGTGAGTTGGGGCTGGGGCTGGGAAGGACCCCTTTCAAGAAGAGGAAGTGCTTCCAAGGAAGGTAAACTGTTAACCCTTTGACTTTCCCCACAGGTTCTCCAAAAAGCAAACCTATCCCAGAGACTCCAATATCCCCACTGGAGTCTCCTCGACTTCGAGATGCTAGAAGTTTCACTCCTGGCAGAAGAAACACAGGTAAATGAGATGGAATGTGCAGTTCTGTTCCTAGTCCCCCAATCTGGGCTGTGGAGCTGGGCTCATGCTGGGTTCTGGTCACTTCTCCCACAGCTCCGTCTCCGAGACTCTCTGGTAGTCGCCGTGGCCGCAGGCAGTCTGGTGAGTATCCCCACTGGAACTGGGGGACCCAGGACACAGTGGCCTGACCTTCTGACATTCTGTGTCCTCCCTGCAGAGCCAGTGAAGGACCCTTATGCCATGTTTCCTCAGAATGGTTAGTGACTGGTCCATGTCTGTCTGTCTGCCCCTTCTTGGGATGTTTGGGGTGGATGGGGAGGAAGAAGGGGCAGCTGGTCAGTTACCAGGAATAACTCTTACTCCTGTGTCTCACTCTTTCTCACCTCTCCATCCCAGATCAGCCTAAAGTCAAGGTAAGAAATGGAGACAGCGTCTGGGAGCTGGACTCCTAGTCTGACAGAGAAAAGAGCTTAGTTCCACCATCTGGGTCTGAAGAAGAAAGGGGATTAAGGGCTGGGGATGTAGCTCATTTGGTACAGTGCTTACCCAGCATGCATTAAAGCCCTGGGTTTGAGACCTGGCACCACATAAAACTGGCTGTGGTGGCACAAGCCTGAATCCCCAGCACTTGGGATGTAGAGGCAGGAAGATCAGGGAGTTCAAGATTATCCTTGACTGCAAGCGAGTTCCAGTTTAGCTTGGGCTACATGAGACCCTAAATAAATAAAATAATGGGGGTCATTAAGCCAGGTGCCCTGGCAGATGTTTGCAGTCCGAGCTACACTGGATGGTCACTCCGTAGTGGAAGAGTACTTGCCTGGTACACACAAGCTCCTGGGTTCTATCCCCAGCACCACAAAAAAATAAAGGAAGCTGGATTGGGTGTGGTGGCACATGCCTATAATCCCAGCCTGGAGAAGGGAAAACAAGGGGATCAGGAATTTGAGGCCAACCTTGGCTACACAGTGAGTTCCAGGTCAGCTTGAGTTATATGAGACCCTTATCTAAAAGTGAAAAAGATGAGGGGCTTGACTTCCTCCATCTGTAGAAAGAGGGGCTGGGGATATTGGGACACAGGGCCCTCCTGGCTCTTCCTTTCCACCCTTCTTCTCACAGCATGCTGGCAGTGAAGGGGAACTCTGTCCCCCCTCGGAATTACAGCCCCCATTGTCCACTTCTGGGCCCCCTGAAGACCTAGAGGATGCTGGCCCTCCCACACTGGATCCATCAGGGACTTCCATCACTGAGGAAATTCTAGAACTGTTGAACCAGAGAGGCCTCCGGGACCCAGGGGTAAGCCCAGTCTACCACAGAGTCCTTGAAGCCTTGTCCTTGGGCAGTCAGAGACAAAGGCCAGGTTGGCCCATCCCCAACCCTGATATCTTGGCCTTTGTGTGCCCACTACAGCCAGCTACCCACGACATTCCCAAGTTCCCCAGAGACTCCAAAGTGACAGGTGACAGAGAAACCCTCCCGTTCCAAGCCCTGCCCAGCCGGGAGTCCTCAGAAGAGGAGGAGGAGGAGGATGACGAGCTGGAGATGAATGAACGGGAGCCTTCCCCACTCCACGTCTTAGAGGGGCTGGAAAGCTCTGGTACAGCTGAAATTCCCCGCATTCCCAGCCTTACCAAGATTCCTGACATGACCAGCCTTCCAGAAATTCCAGAAGTTCTCTCCGATATCCCCAGTGTTTTTGAGCTGCCTTGCCTTCCATCTGTGCCCAGTGTGCCTGACAGTCCCAGCCTGGGGAGCACTCCTGCCCTCCCCTGTGACTCCTGGCTCCCTGGACCCCTGCAGGAGCCGGAGAAGGCTCTAGCCACCAGGAGAGAACTGTTTCCTGGAAGCAATCCTGGAAATCTGGGTTTGCCCACCTCAGGAAGCGTAGTGGGGCAGGAGGAAGAGGGTGAGGAGGTGTCACTCCCAGCTTTCTGCACCCAGGATGTCACCCAGGTTCAGGGATTCCCAGAGGACCTGGAATACCGTTCTTGCTCAGAAATCAGGAGTGCCTGGCAAGCTCTAGAGCAGGGGCAGCTGGCCCGGCCCTGCTTCCCAGAGCCTCTGCTGATCCTGGAGGACTCCGATATTGGTGGAGGCAGTGGGAATGGGAAGGCAGGAGTGCCACATTCAGAGCGGGCAGCTTCCCGGGTGCGAGAGCTGGCTCGGCTTTACAGCGAGCGGATCCAGCAGATGCAGCGGGCTGAGACCAGGGCATCCAGCAATGCACCCCGACGCCGACCTCGGGTCCTAGCCCAGCCTCATCCATCCCCCTGCCCACCCCACGAGGAGGCTGAGCCAGGTGAGACCCAACCCTATCTGGAACAGCCTTCCTGACTGGATCCTTTCTTTTCCGCTGTGGTACTAGGGATTAGGGTCTCTAGCGTGCTAGGTCAGTACTCAACCTTTGAGCCACACCCCCAGCCTCTTACTGGGGGATTCTATGTAGGTGCTCTACCACTGAACCACATTCTCAGCCTTTGGTCCTCTTTCCTTTGTGTACAGGTCCCATGCCTGCCTTTGGACACGTGTTGGTGTGTGAGCTGGCCTTCCCACTGACCTGTGCTCAGGAGACTGTCCCTCTGGCCCCTGCTGCTCTGGTTCAAGCTGCTACACCTTTGTCTAAGCAGAGAAGTCACCTGGATGGCCAGAGTCTAAATGTCGCAGATTTGCCCAAGCAAGACCATCTGGGTAGCTGCATTCCACTGCCTTTGTCTGGAAAAGGAGATTTCTGGAACATGCAGGTTCCATCCAAATTCTCTTTGCCCAAGCAAGAAGGTCCTTCGGATATCCAGGTTCCAGCAGTTCCAACATTGCCTGATCAAAGCCAAGTTCCTACTACCACTCCTTTGACTGAGCACAGAAGCACCATGGAAATAGAGGTTCCATCTGCCCCCACCTGCCTTCCTGGGCAAGGGGGCTATACAGACCTGCAGATGCCAACTACCCCAGCATTGCCCAAGCAGGGAGGAAGTGCTGATGTCACAAATTTAGACACCACCCCTCTGCCCAAGGAAGAAGACCACACGGGCAGCCAGAGCCCAGGCAGTACTCCAGGAACTGAGCAAAGAGGTGTCAGGATTGACCAAGGCCCACCTGCTGTCAGTGACCAACCCATCAGTCCTTCACCAATGCAGGCAAACAACCTACACCATCAGATCCCAGCCGTCACCCCACTGCCCTTGTCACCTGACCTCCCAGACATCGAGGAGTCTGGTTGTTCTCCTCTGCGTATGCGTGGAGGTCCCCTGGACTGTTGCATCCCAGCTAGCCCTCCACAGTCTTTATCCCAAGACCTTCCAGATGTTCAAGTGCCAGCTGCCACACCCTTGGCCCTGCCTCAAGACCATACAGACATCAGAGTCCTCCTATCTTTCCCCAAGCAGGAAGGACCCACAGATACTCTGAGTCCAGAGGCTCCACCACAGCTTCTAGAGCCCGGCCCCACTGACACACAGACTCCCGGACTCCCACCTCCACGGGGCCAGCAGAACTCCGCAGCTGTCCGCGTTTTAGCTGCCACATCTTTCACTGCACAAGGATGCCCTCAGGACCCTCAGGGCCTGATACCCACACCGGTGCAGACTGCCATCATTTCATCCAAACCTGGAAGCCATTCAGTCTCTCATGTTACCAGGTCAGAGTCTTCAGACTTGACCCCACCCCATAGCCCTCAGCCCCACAGTCGTCAGCTCCTGGGCCCCAGTGCAGCTGCCCTCTCCAGGTACCTGGCAGCTTCGTACATCAGCCAGAGCCTTGCTCGGCGGCAGGGACCAGGGGGAGAGGTCCCCTCAGTCATTTCTCGAGGTCCCTGGTCTTCCTCTGCCCCTACATCTCGGGCACCTTCACCACCACCCCAGCCCCAGCCCCCACCACCCCCAGCTAGGAGGCTCAGCTATGCCACCACAGTTAGTATCCAGGTGGGAGGTGGTGGGCAGCTGCGGCCAGCCAAGGCCCAGGTCCGGCTCAACCACCCTACTCTCTTGGCAGCCCCCCACCCAGGAGCCTATGGGCCTTCTCAGGGTCCAGGGGGCTCTTGATGTCCCTTTTCAAAATGTGAGTATGGGCATCAGGCTTCCCAAGCAGCAAGGACTTTAACCCCTTCACCTAGTGCCACCCACCCTCAGGACATCACCCAGAGTCTAGACACAGGTCTAGAGGTGGCTGTGACGTTCCAGCCCCTGGTGTCTTTCACAGGTGGTCCTGGAAGCAATAGAGATAGGAAAAGGAGAGGTCTTGGTTATTTTGTTAATTAATTAATTTTATAAAACGATGTGTGCTTTGCTATTCTTCAGGTGGTGGGGATCTCGAATCCTGATGGGAAGCACTAACATTACCCAAACTTGTGAAAATCCTCTGAGAACACTTGGGCTATCTCAGGCTGGGTGTGTAGCTCAGTGAGCAGAGTACCTAGCATGCATGAACCCCAGGGTTAGATCCCCAACACCACATAAAAGGTATGATGGTGAATGTCTAATCCCAGCAACTCAGGAGATGGAAGTAAGAGGATCAGAAGTTCAGAGCTAACCTGGGCTACATGAGACCCTGTCTCAAAAAGAAAAAAAAAAAAATGCCGAATTTCAAGCTCCTTTGGAACCATTAGAAAATATTAGAACTTGATGACTTAAGGTTTAGAACTATGCCGGGTGTGGTGGCACACGCCTTTAATCCCAGCACTTGGGAGGCAGAGACAGGCAGATCTCTGTGAATTCAAGTCCAGCCTGGTCTACATAGTTCCAGGACAGCTGGGGCTACAGGGAGACCCTGTCTCAAAAAGGCCCAAAATAAAAGGAGTTTAGAACTGTATGGTACTGCTAGGAAAGCAATCCTGCTCAAGCTAGCCAAGATGGCCCACATCAATAGTCCCAGCTACTCGGGAGGCTGGCTGGAGCAAGGGGATATCTTGGGCCCAGGCGTTTGGGGCCACCCTGGGCTATAGCAGCAAAAGCCTTGCTCCTGATCTGTTTCCACCTGACTGGCCATTTGGTTACCTGGTTGTCACTATTCCTTCATCTGGTGTCCACCTTACAAGCTGGAATCCTACCCATGTGCCTTACCCTCACCTTCCACCCTGCTCATCCTTTGATCTGCTCATTTGTCCTCCCTCCAACTGGTACTCCAGGCTCCATATCCATCCCACTTCTCCAACGAGTACTGGTCCTCCCATCCCTGCATCTGTCATTTAGTCATCGATACACCTCTCCCCCAGCTGTCTCTATCCATCAACCCACCCTGTCCATCTCCCCTTATTTGGGTTCTTTGGGTCCTGGTACTACACCTCAGGAACTATTCTATATACATGCCAAGGCAGATCAGCTAAGGGCTGTGAAAGGTCTGTCTCATTTCCCTGGACACTCCCAGACCCGTTGCCATGTATATCCCGATCCTTGTGTCTCTCACACACAGACCCATTTCCATGAATGTTCCAGTTCTTGTGACACACACACACTCATACACTCACACACTCAGGCACACACATCCCTCCACTGCCTTGTTTGGAACTCTGCAATTCCTCAGCAGGCACTCACCTCCCACAAAATAATCCAGGTCGTGGAGACAAAAAGGGTTTTATGTTTCGGTCCTTCCGCCCTCTCCCAGCAGTGGTCTGCCAAGTGAGAAGCATGGCGTAAAAATGTTTGTGATGATTTACTACCAGCTCCTTCCATCACTGTTACTCTTCCCTGGAATTCTCTGAGGCCCATGTCATGGCTGTGAATTCAAGTCCTCCTTTCTCTTTGATGTGTTTCCTTCCTCACAGAGCTCGTTTTCCTGTCTGAAAAATGACCATTATGCCCTTCTCCTCCTCCTCTTCCCTCCCCCCCTCTTCCTTTCCTCCTCAGAATGGTCTGAGCATCCTGTCAGTGTACCCTCTCACTTCCCAAATGCGTATTAGTCCACCAGAACATCATTCAGATCATAGACCCCATTACGATCTAGTCCCAACCAATAGGAGTCTTAGAATCATAGTTAGCAGCTGGCTCCCAGCCAGAAAGGGAGCTTCACTGTGTACTAGCTGTAAGCCATGAGGGTATCATTCTGTGGGAGCTGATTCTCTTGGCCCTTGGCATTGCTAAGAACCAATGAGCTTTGTTTATTCTTTGCAGTGCTGAGGACCAAACTCAGGATCTAGTGCTCAAGGGCTTGGCTACTGAGCTACCTGCCTAGCCCCAGGATATGTTGGGCTGATTTAGTTTAGTTTGCAGTGCTGGGATTAAATTCAGGGCCTCATGCTAGCAAGAGCTCTACCACTGAGCTACCTCCCTAGCCCCATCCTTTGTTGGGTTTTGTTTTGTTTGAGAGAGGGTCTCACTATGTAGCCCTGGCTGACCTGAAGCTCCCTATATAAACCAGGCTGGCTTTGAATTCAGAGATCTCCCTGCCTGTGCCTCTCCAGTGCTGGAACTAAAGACATGCACTACTGCCAGTTTTAAAAGATGTGTATTTGTGTGTACTTGCACGTGAGTGTAGATGTCCCCAGAGTCCACAAGAGGGCTGGTGATTCCCTGGAGCTGGTGTTACAGGCAGATGTGAGCCATCCCACATGGTGCTGGGAACCAAACTTAGGTCCTGTGTAGGTGCAGTGTGTGTGCTTAACCACTGAGCCATCTCTCCAGCCTGTGTTTTTAGTCACTCTATATACACATGAGGAATCAGTGTGGGCTACAGAGACCCTGTCTCAACCAAAATTACTTAAAAGGAAACTTAACAGACAGAAAAGCAGCTTTCCCAGTTCCACTACTAGGAGGGGGCTGAACAGGGACAAAGCTTCACAGCCTGAAGCCCATCTAGTGCCAAGAGACATTCTGGCCACCAGGGTTACATACAAGAGGGAGATTCTGGTCATGAGGGAGCCAGCCAGCCCAAGGCCAGGCTTAATAAAAGAAGTGGGTGGCATCTCACTGAATGCCACTGTGCCCACAGGGCCTGGACTAGGGGCCCCCAGGAGCTGAACAGGCCCCTCTCCAGCCTACAGTGATTGAGGCCTCCCTGAGGTCAGGACTAAGGCTGGCCTTCCCTCCCCACCTCTGCCAGAGCCGCACATTCCCAGCCGCCTCCAGCTGTAGGAAAGTTCCCAGCCTGGTCTGGCCTCCCAGCGGCGCCGGAATTCCTGGTATTTGAGGAGGCAGGGAGGGAGAAAGGGCTGTCTGCTCCAGAGCCCGGAGAGGAGCCCCCTCTCCAGATGCATTCCAGCTGTGCCTCTAGGAAGGAGCCCTGCACCTCAATGGGGGAGGAGAGTCTCTCTTGTCCCTCTGGGAAAACCAAAGGTCCCAGGCTGACCTTAACCCCCTCCTTTTGGTGGGTTTCATCCCTCCCCTCAACCCCAGCTCCTTTCGGCTTCCTAGACCTACCAGGACCCCAGGAACACCCTTGCCCACCAGTCTGCCTGCTGTTTCACAGCTACAATCAGACTCAAAAAGCAGGGGGATGCTAACTGTGTGGCTGGAGCCTGGAGTCCCAGTGGATCTTGGCAACACAACCAGACCTCATCTTAGAAACAAAAAAGGGTGGTGCCTACTGCTCTCCTTCCCTATTACCTCTAGCCCCAGTGCCCTTGAGCACCGCACACCACTATTTTGCCACCAAGGTAGTTTTCTCATCTGGTCAATCACCTAGCACCAAGTTAGCAGTCAGCAAGCCCCATTCTCGTGTGCCTTGGTGTCAGTGCTGCCCCATGGAGTCTTCCTCACCTGTGGGAACATTCTATCTGCTGAGCCAGGTTGTGCAGGGCCTTAATGCCAGCTTTTCAGAAGACAGATCACTAGTCAAGGCCTGCCTAGGCTACAAAGCAAGTGCAAGGCCAGACTGGTTAACTCAGGGAGACCCTACCTCAAAAACAATGAAGCCAGGCATGAAGGCATACACCTTTAAACAGAGGAAGGTAGCCCTTCCAAGTTCAAGTCCAGCCTGGTCTACAGGCCACCAGGGCTGCACAGTGAGGCCCTCTCAAACTAAAGACACATCTGAGCAGCTTGGGTATGTGTGGCTGTTGGTTAGGACAGATGTGTACAAGTGGAGTCACTGAACCGAGTTGTAACCTTTCCCTTAACTCACATGCAATCTCAGTGCCCCATAAGACCACCATGGTCACACATGCAGCTCACCGGCAGCTGGCCACTCAACTGCTAAGCAACTTCTCGAGCAGCAAGTGAGCCAAGTCTCAGGTATATGAAACTGAATGGTCCCCAATCAGTTCCTGAGAATGCACCAGACCCTCTGGGTTGGGTCAGTTACTCATTAGGTCCAAGCAGACTGCTCCACTGGCACTCCTCAAAGGGTGTGTGGTGCAAAGGGGCTGCTGGAGACAGTATGAAGGACCTTGGCTCAACATTATACCCTTGAGCTGTTTGCTGGTACTCTCCTGGGGGATAGGACTGTGCAATCCACAGCAATTCTTCTAGGTAGTCCCCCAGTACTGGCTTCTCTTCGGGATGTGGTCTTGCTGTACAGCCTGGAACTCACTATACAGACCAGAGATCCACCTCCCAAGTGGTGGGATTAAGGTGTGCACCATACCTGGCCCCATTTTGTAATACTTCAAGACAACCTTATATAGAAGTTGCCAAGGACAGGCTCTTCCTGCCTCCAGGTTACTAGGATTACAGGTGAGGACTACTATGCCTGGCTCCTGGGCAGGCTCTTGCCCCACTGGATGAGATGAGCACAACAGCACCCTGCCTGAGGCCTGGAGCTAGTTATGGGCCAGAACATGGTGTGGTGACACCCAACTAGGGCACAGCAAAGTGGTGAAGGATAGGCTAAAGGGAGTGTTAACAAAGGATGTCAACCATCAGCACCCTAACCAGAGTCTACATATACAGCAAAGTGCACTGAATTTGTCAGTACTGCTAGAATGGGAAGACTCCTTAAACCTGCACGGCACCCCTAGGTATGGGGGTATCCCTACTGTTGGTTGACATTTCAAACTCTCAGCCTGGGCGTGGCCCTTAGCTGTAGACTTTTCTGATCCCACCCAGGCAGTCTGAATTTGCTTTGTGTTAAAGATTATTGGCCTTACACATTTCCTCCACTCTTCCTGCAGTTAAAATAGCAGGGCTGGGTGTGGTGCATGCCTCTAGTCCCAGCACTAAGGAGGCTGAAGCCAAGGTTCTTGAGCTGAAGAGGTGATGAGCAAGGGTTGTGGAGTGTAATAGCTCATCGGTAGAAGACGAGGGGAAAAAAAGACACTATAGTGTGCAGGGCCATGGGCCATGGGTTCACTCTCCTGTAACAAAAGCAGCACAGTAGCAAAGGGACTGGGGAAAAAAGATCCCAAGAACCTATGCCGAAAGACACAGTGACATACACTTGTAACAACCCTGTGCTAGGTGGGCAATCTCTGGGTTTTGCATGCTAGAGACCTAACCTCAAAACAAAACACCAGGTATACACCTGTAATCCCAGCATTCAGGATGGCAGAGGCAGGCAGATTTGAGTTTGAGGACAGCCTGGTCTACACACTGAAAACTGAGACCCTGTCTCAAAAAACGAAAATGGGCCGGGTATGGTGGCACATGCCATTAGTCCCAGGCACTCAAGAGGCAGAGAAAAATCTCTTTGAGTTCCAAGCCAGCTGGAGCTACAGGAAGACCCTGTCTCAAAAAAGGAAAAAAAAAGGGCTTCAAGGAGTTACGACCATGGGCTATTCTTGGAGAGAACTGAGGTTCAGTTCCCAGCACCCACAAGACAAGTAATAACCATCTGTAACTCCAGTTCCAGATATCTGTCACCCTCTTCTGGCCTCCAAGGATACTGCACACACAAGTACGTGGATCACATTCAACCACAAAAATTCAGAAAATGAGTGCAAACACTCAAGGTTGCCTCTAGAGTCCACATGTACATGCATATACATCCATGTACATACATATAATAAAAATACCCTGTGACAGCCACTGCCACCTGGGCTCAGCCCACACACTGCACTATGTATGCCTCTCCTATCTGCCACCTTCACCAACCACACTAAGGCCAGGGCAGGTGACTTCCTGCATTCCATTTAACCACAGACCACAGAAGACCACAGCTCAGCCTCAGGCAATTACACAATGTTTATTACAAAGGTAAACCCTGATCCTCTGAATGGGCTTATCGGTAGGATTTCTGGTAGCGGGCACGGGCACCAGGACCTCCAAACTTTTTGGACTCGCAGCGACGGGGATCAGCTACCAGCAGGGTTCGGTCATACTGGATAAGAATGTCTTTGATCTCCTTCTTTGAAGCCTCATCCACATCTGGAAATGAGAAAGGGGAAAGATTCAAATAACTGCAAGTCTTCCCCTGGCCCCTGCATACCCAACCTCCTGCTAGAAGAACCAACTGCACTCACATTTCTGGTAGTAGGCCACCAGAGCTTTGGAGATGGACTGTCGAATTGCTGTGAGAAGACAATGCAGAGGGTCATATGAGCCCCATCAAGTAGTCTTGCTCCAGGAACCACCTCAAAGTCACAGGGCCAGGTGCCAGGGACTTACCATAAATCTGGGCCACATGACCACCACCCTTCACACGGACCCTGATGTCCACACCAGCAAACCGCTCCTTGCCCAGAAGTAGAACTGGCTCTAGTAACTAGAGAAACAGTGAACAGGGTTAGGTCACCTCACTGGGCATTTCGTATCTCCCTTTACCTTCCCCATCATCACTGAATAATCTAAGCAAATAGCTGCTGTTCCAGGTCTCATTGTGCCCTTCCCCAAGCCCTCTCTGGACTTACATCCCAGCCCTGCCCATAATCTTATCTACATCAGGTTTTAGTATTGGGTCATTGTGCCTCGAAGCTCCAAGAGGGTAGGGACTAGAGTCACTGCTGCATCCCACAAAACAGAACACACACAAATCCTCCATATAAACTGACAGCCAATAACAAAACCATATTCCATAACTGCTATACAAGGGAAATCTGGTACTTTTGACAATGCTTTTAAGTTCTTTCCCTTTAAAAGGAACAGAATTTAAGAAAAAATACCTTTATAGATGCCAAACTTAGTCTTCAATCCCTAAGAATCAAAATCACACCCCATTTCACAGATGGACCCCCCGCCCCCAAGAGCCTAGCAACTCAGCAGAACCCACCACATTCTGGCCTTTCCATTCAAAGAAAACAGGGAGGGACTGTTAAGACTCTTACCAAGCATTTAAACAGCCCAACTATGTCCTTTTTAGTTGCTTCAATTAAGTAACTGAGATCCCCATCCCAGGGGCCTAATTTCTTGAGGCAATTTACTTTACCCTCATCCACAAGTCCCCACGATTAGAATACTACAGATCTGTAAGACAACTAGTCTTTCATTACCAATACTATCGTGACTTTGGACCATCTCCAGTATATTTCTTCTTACACATATCAAAACTCATCAACTATGGGTTCTGGGTTTTAAGATTTATTTTTGTACCTCCTGTTAACTCTTTTCCCACCAGTTCAACAAAAAACGCACACAGGCTTGGAGGGTGGAGTACACCTTTAACCCCCTCACTCAAGAGGCAGGTTTCAAGGCCAGCCTTGGCTACATAGTGATGCCTTATCTTTAAGGTCCTGCTTTTATTTTTTTTTTTTCAGTTTTTAAATGCATTTATTACTTTTTGTGTGAGTGCATTATCTGCAGGTATATAAGTGCACCCGTGGCATGCAATGAGTTTTGGGAGACTGTTAGCAGCCTTATGGATGCTGGGAACCCAAACCAGGTCCTCAGCAACAGTAACCAGTGCTCTTAACCACTGAGTCCTCTCTCCAGCCCAGCTCCTGGTCTGTGGTGGCACAGGCCATTAATCCCAGCACACAGGAGACAGGCAGAGGCAGGCCTGGTCTATATAGTGAGTTCCAGACTAGCTGAAGCTACAGGGAAATCCTGTTTTAAAAAAGAAAATGTTTTTCTTTCATGAGTTTTATACAGTAGCCCAGGATGACCAGAACCACGCTCTGTAGATCTGTATGGTCCTGAACTCTTGGCAATCCTCCTACTTCATCCCGCAGAAGTGCTGGTTGTAAACCCATTCTTCTACGAACGAAAACGTTAATCGGGTCGTATAAACCGAGCTATTCCGGCCCCGATTTCCCCGAAGCACGGTGAGTTTCCAAATATTCCAGATCGCAAGAGACCTCCTCCAACCTCCAACAATTTTCCTTACGCCTGCTCGGTGCGAACGTTTTTCCCTGCTCAAGGTCAGACCTACCACTAAATATACCACTTTCCTTCCCCTAACTCGGCTTCTCAACACCCACTGAGAACGGCACCTCCGTTTCTAAGCCCCCTCCCCTACTGTGTCCGGCTCCAAGGCGCCCGTCCCCGACCCGGCACCTTGTACTGCAACGTGCGCGGCTCGATCATCTCCAGAGGACGTCCGTTCACCTTGATGAGGCCATTTCCTCGTTTGCAGTGCGCCACGGCTGTGGCTGTCTTCTGTGGAAAGCGAGGGAGAGAGCGGGGCCATTGTGAGTTCCGGGCCCTGGTCACCCGGCCGCCCCCCCAGCCCCCGGCCGCTCCCAGCCTCCCCCGGTTCTTCCACTCCTCGCCAAGCCAACCTTGCGTCCGAAGACCTGCACCGACTGCAGCGGACCCTTGGCCGGCATGGCTGCGAGTACACACACGAGCTCCTCACCGCGCGGCGTTGCACCGGAAAAAGAAAGCTCGGGGCCGCCCCAGCCGCTTTTCAAGGTCTGCGCAGGCGCTTTGAGCGTTCGTCACGACAGAAGCCAGCTTTACGGCTCACGCTGAAGCCAAGGGCGGGACGTCTGATTGGCGGCGGGAAGGCCCTCAGGAGAGAAGGTCCTGGGAGCGGAAGGGGCGGGGCCTGAAGCACACAGCTTGACAGGCCGGATCAGACTCTATTTACGGTGGGATGGGTTCCGGTCTCTGACGGTTCTCATAAGCATTCCTACTGTTTGACAATCTCCTTCGCGCCACCCTCCAACTCGCTTCTCAGCTGCTCACCACCCGCAACCTTCTCGCCCTTCGGACTCCCTTTTCCCAGAATTCCCTCCAGGGTCTTCGTTCCAAACTCCACTGCTCTAAAGCCCAGCTGGGTTCCCAGCATCCTGTCTCCCGGAACCCACTTTGAGAATCCTCTCCTCAGACTCTTTCATTGGAAAGCCTACCTTCCGGTATCCTTCCCGGAGCGCTGCCTCCCACAACCCTTTTCTCAAAGGCACGCCCCCCAAACCTTTTTTCAACGCTCTCAACCTAAACTCTGCTTTCCTCCCGGGTCCCCTACTCAGGGTCATCATCCTCCGGGTCTTCCCTCGAGAATCTTCCTGCCTTCACAAATCCATCATCCCTAGAATCCCTTCTCATAACATGTTCCTTCCACAGAGCCCCTTCCCTTCATTTACCCAGGAATTATAACACCAGCAGCTGCCGGAAATTTTTCCTCCCAGAATGGCCATCTCCTAGAAACTACACCCCCAGGATCCCTCTTCAAGCGACACCCAAATCCTCTCTTTAAAAAAGTTACCTTTTATGTGTATGTTTTGCCTGAATGTATGGAAGTGCATCACGTGTACATGAATGCACTACTTTCGGAGGTAGAAGTGGGCATTTGATCCTCTGGAACTGTAATTTCAGATGGTTGTTAGCCGAAATGTGGGTGCTGGGAACCTAACCACGGGTCCTCAGCAAAAGTAGCTTGTGCTCTTAACCGTTAAGCCATCTCTCCAGCCCTCCCCCTGCCCTTACCCCACTCTCTTTAAATGCCTCTAATTACTCTCCACTCTAACCCACCCCCCCGCACAAAATTCTCCAGCCCACCAATCCAATCAAGAACCCCAGGTTTGAGTTGTTCCCTGGTGTCATTTTCCTGGCTTCCCTAATACTCTCTGATCAAGGGGATTCCATTTTAGGGATGTAGAGGGCCCACAGTTGCTTCAGTTTAATTGGTAGCATGGGGGCTGGGACTTAAACCTTGCCAGAGACTTGGAGACAGTGTTGGAGGGTACGGTTGGGAACAAGTGGGTAAATAAACCCGCAGTTGATTTTTTTTTTTTTTTTTTGTCTTTTTGAGACAGGGTCTCCTTGTAGCCCCAGCTGTCCTGGAACTCACTATGTAGACCAGGCTGGCCTCGAACTCATAAAGATCTGCCTGCCTCTGCCTCCCAAGTGCTGGGATTAAAGGCATGTGCCACCACGACTGGCCCCACAGTTGATTTCTAAAGGGAGAAAGATAGCATGGTGTGGTGGCTGGTGGTGCAAACCTATAATCCTAGAATTTGGAAGGGGGAGACAGGAGGATAAGCCTGTTCAAGATCATCCTTAGCTACATATGTTCAAGGCCAGCCTGAGTTATATGAGACCCTCTCTTAAAAAAAAAAAAACAAGCAGGCCATCTCTATAACGTGCCACTATAATTTTTAAAAATAGGATGGCAACTTAATAATAAGACTGGGGCTACAGGGAGACCCTGTCCCAAAAAGACCAAAAAATAAATAAATAAATAAATAAATAAATAAATAAATAAAAAACAAAGACAAAAACACAAAAAAACCAGAAACAATGGCACTGTCCACACTCAAGGAATCCATAATGTTTCAGTAAGAAACCACTGGGTCTGTATGCATGCAACTATGCATGCCTGAGTAGTTGACAGGAGATAATACCCTGGTGTTCTGGCTGTCGAACTTCTCACCCATTACCCAAAGCCTTAGCAGATAAATGAATTTCAGCAGGATCTTCTTATGTAAATCAGACTGGTCTTGAACTTGTGATCCTCTTGACTCTTACCTCTCAAATGCTAGGATTACAGGGGTATACCACCACACTTGGCAACATATAATTTGCTCATTGTTGTCTCCAATACAACACTGACTTTCACATAACAGATGATTGTGGAGGCTGCAGATGTAGCTAGTAGAGTGCTTGACTAGTAGATGCCAAGTCATGGGTTTGATCTTCAACTCCACATAATCCGGGCCTGGTGATGCATGCCTATAATCCTAGCCTTGGGGAAGTGGAGGGAAAAGGATCCAAACTTCAAGGCTATCATCTTCTTTGGTATACTGAGTTCAAAGCCAGCCTGGGCTACGGGACACCTGTCTTAAAAACAACAAAACACACACAAAAAAATAATTATTATGATTACAGTCAAATTTAAATGGTGCTTACTCTGTGCTGGGTACTGGTCTAAATGCCTGGAGTACATTGGTTAATCTCCACACCAGCCCTATGAAGTAGACAGGACCACCATGTGTGGATATGACATCTAACAAGGACAATATTTAGACATTGTAGATTCCTATTTGTCAAGGTCCAGCAGATAGCAGAAAAGTATCCATTGTGCTTTAATCATTAAATTGCTTTTTTTTTTTTCTGAGACTGTGTCTCATGCAGCCCAGGCAGTCAGCCTGAGGAGAGGGATGACCTTGAACTCTTAATCCTCTTGCCTTCACCTCTGAAGCGCTAGGATTACCGATGTCCAGTTTTAGAAGTGTCTTTTCTTTTTTTTTTGTTCTGTGTGTGTGTGGAAATAAGGTCTCATGTAGCCCCACCTGGCCTGGAACTCACTATGGACTCTAGATGTGCCTGCCTCTGCCTCCCTAGTGCTGGGATTAAAGGTGTATTCCACAACACATACACCCCACCTTTTTTTGAAACATGATCTAGCTATATTGTCCTAGCAGGCCTCAAACTCTTGGGACCAAACAATCCTCCTGCTTCAGCCTCCCAAGAACCTAGGATTAAAAATCTGGTGGAAGGAGTGTCTTTTTAAAAATTTATTAGTGGGGCTGGAGAAATGGCTCAGCGGTCAAGACCACTGGCTGCTCTTGCAGAGGACCCGGGTTTGATTCCCAACACCCACATGGCGGCTACGAATCGTCCTTAACTCCAGTTCCAAGGGAATCCGACGCCCTCTTCTGACCTCCATGGCATTGCACAACATGGGTGCACTCACATACATACAGGCAATACACTCATACACATAAAGTAAAAATAATAAAATATTTTTTTTAATTTATTATTTTATTTTATGTGTATGTGTGTGTTGTCTTCATGTGCTTAAGTGTACTCATGTCCTGTAATGCCTGAGGAAGGGTTTCAGATCCTCTGGAACTGGAGTTACAGACAATTGCTAGCCACCATGTGGGTGCTGGAAACTGAACCTGAGTCCTCTGCAAGAGCAGCCAGTGCTCTTAACCACTGAGCAGTCTTATCTTTCCAGCCCCAGAAGTGTCTTTTTCTAATTTGCACACAGATACCCTATGGCTAGTGTTGTTCATTAGGGCAGGAATTATTGCAGACCCCTTTTTGCAGATAAGGAAACTGCGGTCCAGAGAAGTAAGAGGGCATGTCCCAGGCATATCAGAAACCTCTGGAGTGGAAGTTTGGGATCAGACCTGTACTCCACAGGCCTGTTCTGCAAGAACCTCAGTTCTTGAGAATGCAGATGCTGGTGATTGGGATAATTCTGTGTTCCATTAACATGCCTGCTCAAAATGTCTGCTGGATGCTACAGGGCTGTGGGTGGTTATCTAGCATCCTGTCTGCTCCATGAAGCCTCCCTAAAGAAACCTACCCTCTTCCTGCCCAGACCCTTGGCTGCCTCCTTATCCTGTTTGTTTTTGTTCTTTATTTTTTGAGCCCAGGCTGGTCTTCAATTCAATTTGTAACCAAGGATGCCCTTGAACTTCTGACTCTCCAGCTGCCACCTCCCAAGTACTATAAATAGATATTTCCAATAAGTGGAAACTTCATTTAGCATAATTCTTTTGAGAATTATCCATATTGTAACTCATGCCAATATTTCCTTTCTTTTTATGCCAAATATTTCATTATGTGGATATAGCACATTTTGTTTAGTCAGTGGACATGTGGATTATTTCTTTTTTTTAATTTTAAAAATAAAATTTTTTTGGTCTTTTTGAGACAGGGTCTTCCTGTAGCCCCAGCTGTCCTGGAACTCACTATGTAGACCAGGCTGGCCTTGAGCTCACAGAGATCCGCCTGCCTCTGCCTCCCAAGTACTGGGATTAAAGGCATGTGCCACCATACCTGGCTATAATTATTTTTTAATGGGGCATTCCCCCCTCTGAAGAGGTAACCCTAAAATCTTTTAATGATTAGATACAAGCTCCCAATACTTTCAACATTTTGGGCCTTTGGAACAGAGTATGTTGCTAAGAGGCCCAAGGACATGGTGAGTTTTAGGTAAGAAACTGGCTACTTTTCTTTGGGGTCTTTTTACCCTAACTGCCTAGCCAATTCTACCTCCCATTCTTATTACACCATCCTCTGAAGAGGTTACCGAAATTGCCAATAGGGAATTGGGATGCAGACCGCTCTGGCTTCTCCCATGCTGAACAGGGATGCAGGGTGAGGCAATTGGAGTACCCCTTCAGTGGGTCTATCTAAAAGACTCCCAAATTGCATAACTCTTATCTGTAGGTGGAAAAGAAAGTCCTTGACTGAAAACCACCAAATTTTTAATTATTTTTAATTTAAATTGGCAAAAAGAAAGAAAACAATACTGTTTCTGGCAGGATAGAGAAGTATTGTGATCTCTGTATTGCCAGGAAGCTCTATAGTAGTGGACAGGACCAGAAAGCAAGCCCATTTGGGCACAGCCCTTAAGGCCCCCCACTTCTGGAATTTGCAAAGGGAACTGTGCTAGGTAAAGTAGAAGTTGAAGCTAAATAGCCAAATTCTGGTGTCAGGAAGTGTGTGAGGGTCCAGAGTGCATCAAAAAAGGCAGTGGG